GCGGAGGAACCCCCGATCCGTACATCTCGTTGAGCTTGAATAACCGCGACGAGCTAGCCATCACCAAGTACAAGAACAACACGTATGTTCTCTGCTTCATATCCACTCCTTCTGCTCACCGCTTTGCCAGTTACAACCCAACTTGGATGGAGACCAAATTCATCCTCGTAAACTCACTCAACGAGTCTCTTGTTCTGAGTTTGTACGACTACAATGACCACCGTAAAAACGCGCTTCTCAGCAGCACGAGCTTTGAGCTTGCCGGACTGCAGGATAATGCCATACGGGAAGGCATTGAGGCTCCGCTGCTTAAGGACGGCAAAGAACGTGGTATATTGAGATATGACGTGTCTTACTACCCTGTTATCAAGCCCGAGGAAGGCAAGGAGCTGCCCGATACGAGTAAGCATTGATCTCTTACAGCCAGCACAACACGTATTCATGGTTTACATAGGCGTCGGGATCGTGCGTCTAACGATTCACCAAGCGAAAGAGCTCGACCAAAGCAAATCCCTCTCGGGTGACCTCAACCCTCTGGCCAAGCTCTATCTTGGTGACTCCAAGGAGGCCGCCTTCAGCACGAGGCTCTTCAAGCACACAAATGCCCCTGTCTGGGAACAAGCCCACGAGTTCCTGTGCTCCGACAAGGCATCTTCAGTCATTATGATCAAGGTCATCGATGACCGCGACTTCCTCAAGGACCCGGTGGTCGGCTACATGTCCATTAAGCTGGAAGATCTGCTGGACAGCAAGAAGGAGGCGGGCCGAGACTGGTTCCCTCTGAGCAACTGCAAGAGCGGCAAGATCCGGCTGTCGGCCGAGTGGAAGCCGCTGAATATGGCCGGCAGCTTGCACGGCGCAGATCAGTACAAGCCTCCAATCGGGATTGTGCGTCTCCATTTGGACAAGGCGGCGGACGTCAAGAATGTCGAAGCGGCTTTGGGCGGCAAGGTAAAAAAATAATTGGTGACTGAGAATCTTTCACGACTCACACTTTCGGTTCCCGCAGAGCGATCCGTACATGCGCGTACAGGTCAACGGCGTCACAAAAGGCAGAACAGAGGTCGTCAACAACAGTTCGTGCCCCCCTTTTTTGGCGTTTAAAACGAATACCAAACTCCCATTAGATCTGAACCCTGTCTGGGACGAAATAATATACATCCCTGGTAAACCCGCTTTCACTAGGAATGTCTACTGTCCACTCATCTTTCTTCTCCTTCAGTTCACAGTCTGAAGGAGGTACGTTGATGCGAGCTTTGTGTGTTCCATCGAGTTTACGTAATCACACAGACGATGTTTTTGGAATGCATGGACTACCAGCATATGACTAGGGCAAGTCATTTCAACGACGTAATCTCACTGCAACTGATGCTATTTGTAGGATCGCTCCCTGGGATCTGCGGAACTGCGGGTTTCAGATTTGGCTCGAGAATCTACTGACCGGCTATATCCCTTCGAGTCAACGGGGAAGAAGACCGGCGCGGATCCCCTTCGTCTCGACAAAGGTAATGCTTTCAAGGGCCAGGTGTACTACACTGCCGAATTCGTACCTGCCCTCGCTCTTGCGGGTGTCAAGTTCGACGCACCTACCAACGAAATTCAACGTGCTGCAGAAGGCCAAGAGGATCCTGATGGTTCGAATGTTCGCTCGTCGTCTTCCTCGTCGTCGTCGTCGAGCAGGAGCGTTCCACGTTCTCCTACTATCGTCGAGCCTAAGAGTCAAGCACCTTCCTCTCCAACTGCTCCCAAGACTCCTCAAACTCCCGAGATTGCGGAATCAGCGGCCCCAGAGAAGCCTGAGGAGCCGGCTGGCGTTGAGATGGGAGTAGATGAGCTTTTGACGCATCGTGCGTATTCGTCTTCATCCTTTGGATAATGAGCTTTATGTTGTTCCCCAGAATCCGGTGTTATTGTGTTCAACATTCTCTCCGGGAATTTGGCCAAGAAGGCCCGCCTCGAGGTTCTGCTGGATGACGGCTATTGGCCTTGTTTCAGTACCATCAAGGCGCGCAGCAACAACGCCCAATGGGAGACCGTTGGAGAAGGCTTTGTCAAGGAGCTCGATTTCGGACGCGTGTGGCTGCGGCTGAATGAATCCGAAGAGGGCGAGAAGGATGACATCGTCGGAGAGTGGAAAGGGGATGCCAAGCCATTCATACACTCTACGCTGGTTCGTTTCCCTTTTTTCTTTCCGCTACGGCTTCTGACGCACGAGTTCTCAGACTGGACCTCAACAGTTCACGCTTCAGGACGAGGACCGAGGCTCTTCGACGGTCATGATCGAATCTCGCTATGTCCCCGTTCCTGTTACGCTCGAGCCACGTGAGAGCATCAACAGTAAGACTTTTCGCTCGAAACCGCGCATAGGCACTTATTCTTTGGTTTTTCAGACCAGGGTACTCTGCGAGTCGATCTACTCGACGGCACCGATATCCGCGGCGTTGACAGAGGAGGTAAGTCTACAGCTAGATATAAGCGGCCCCATCTCATGATGAAATATCAGGGAAATCCGATCCCTTCGCCACATTCACGTTGAACGGCCAGAAAGTCCATAAATCGCAGACGAAGAAAAAGACCCTCACGCCAGTCTGGAATGAAAATTTCACTTGCACGGTGGTATGTATCTAATTTCTTTTCTCCATGTGAGATAACGCTCATGTATTTTGCGATAGCCATCGCGCGTTGCCGCAGACTTCTCTTTGGAAATATTCGACTGGAATCAACTTGGGACCGCCGAAACGCTGGGAGAGGCACAGATCAATCTAGCAGACTTCGAGCCATTCGAGTCTGTCGAGCGTACCCTAGATTTGGTTTCCTCGAAAGGGCAGCACGGCCACATCCGTGTGCGCCTGATGTTCCAACCCGAGATTATCGCCAAATCTCGGAAAAGCACTTCCACCTTCTCCACTGCTGGACGAGCCATGACTCAATTTGGTGGGCTCCCTGTTACTGCAGGCAAGGGAGTGCTGCATGGGGTCACTGGGGTATTCAAGAAAGGGCCAAAAGAAGAAGATCATCTGGCCCCCACCTCGGTGCCCGACGTTCCCTCCGGTCAGGCATCGCACCCTATCGGCCAGCCTGACACCCTTCGCGCCGATGCATCGCCTTTCTCGCATGAGGCTGCTTCTGGAGAGCCCGGTACCCTGCGGGTGACGGTCCTGGATGCAAAAGATTTGGCCAGCGGCGATAGCAAACCATATGCTACCATACGGCTCGGCGACAAGGAGTACAAAACAAAGCCAACGCACAAGACCGCCACTCCTGAATGGTTCGTTGGATCCTCATGACTGCGACTCCCGCTAATCTGGGCTGTTTTTTTTTTCATGTAGGAATGAGACGTTCAATTTCTCGGCTGGCAGTTACACTCCCAAGTTGTACATATGGATCCACGACCACAAGACGCTGGGGAAGGACAAGTTGTTGGGTGAAGGCGAGATTGATGTGTGTATTGGCTGATACACCCCTTCCCATTACTCACGCGTTTCTCAGATCTGGCGCCACATTCAACCAGAAGGCGTTTCGGCGGCAGAGGTCTCCACTGAACTGCGGGGTAGCGGTCTGGTTCGCTTCCGATTGGAATTCGACGCGAACGCACATCCCGCAAACGGCAGTGGTGCTTCGAGCCCTAGAGCGGACACAGGCCGAGCCATGTCCATATCTTCCCCGTCTCGCTTCAGTCTCAGAGGCCGGCGCCCGGGGACCGCGGATAGCGATGAATGAGCGATCTATTAAACAGACAGAACGGACAATTATTTAACTCGAGGACTCGCCCTATTAGGCTTAGCACTGGATAATTAAAAGTAACCACTCACTTTGATGTAACATTCGATCGTCGTTGGCAAATATTTCTTGTATCATTCACTGTACTCTTGTGAACCGTATCACAGACAGATGCTCACGGCCGGCGCGTCGCTGAAGAACGACCTGTACGTGGACGTCAAACTTATGAAACTAACAAATGTATAGGAAGCGGCTTGACCTTGCCTTCCAGAGCATAATTTTCGCGCATTCGCAGCTGTATGCCTGGGATATTGTTTTGGGCCACAGCGACCAAGTAAAAGCGCCCATCAGGAGCGAGGAGTTTCTACTAAGCATGATTAAAGGGACTGAAGACGAAAGAGCGAGACATACATCAACCTGCGGGAAGAATCTATCTGTGACTTGCATGCCGTCTTGGCCGCCTGCCCATGAACCTCCGATATCGCGGTCGCTTTGCGCTCCAGCCGCCTCTTCGCGTACTGTTGGGACGTACGGAGGGTTGAAAACGATGATGTCGACGGATTTGTGAAGGCGGGAGAGTAGAGGGTGGGCGAAGGAAGCGTTCACAAGCTCAAGTGGGACCTAGCTAGCGAGTGAGCGAACCGCGAACCAGTCAAAGGCTTCCGCGTACGTACGCACCTTGTTCTGACGACCCGTTGCAAGGCTGCATTTACAAGCGTGGGGGTTTATATCAGTGCAAAGATACACTTGCGTTGTTTAGCTGAGGATCGTGCGCTGAAACAAGAAGAACGCACGTACTGCCGATGGACCAACGATGCTGCCCAAAAAACTAGATACACAGCCAGAGCCTGACCTGAATTTCCAGTTAATTTCTGATTTATTGCGCGCAAGCGGTCTGACCCAATCTCAAGAGATATTCGAGGTCTCATGCTCGTTAGCTGTTCCGCATCTTGCTCCAGAGCGTCCAAAAGGATGAAAGTGTCCTCTGACGGGGAATTGGCTTGTGAGATTCACATGACCTATAACGTACCGGCGGGCTCATATATACGCTCGTAGTCGTCTGGTCGAAGATGAGACAAATCGGGAGTCGGTATCATTTCCAGAGTAGCGCCGCCGTCACGTGCACCGTATTCAGACGCGTTCAAGCCCAAAACGCGCCTGAAAGAGATGCAAAAAATCAAGTATGTAGACTAAATGAGACTCGGCAATCCTGAATCTGGAATGATACTGTAGTTCGCGGGAACAGTCCAGGGCTAAAAACGGTGGAAAGCCAAAAACAAAGGTCGTGCCCGGGTTCGAACCGGGGTTACGAGAAGATTCGGAACACCGGATTCCTTCAAAATCTCGAGTGATAACCACTACACTACACAACCGATGCAACTCGTCAAATGGGAGATGTGGTGGTCCACGGGGAAACATTTGAGCAAATTGAGAGCCCTCAAACTTGCCGACGTACTTGGAGCGATGGCTACGCCGATGCTACTTGAAGTCGAATAAGCAAAATTCCGTATTTCCTCGATTATGGTCCAAAAACCGCGTTCCGGCTCAGTCTGGACGATAGTATAGTATAGATGAAGTCGCGTGCAATCTTGCTCTAGAGGTATCAGGTGTGTAAAGTCGTGGTTTTACGCATGCAATCTTGCTCTGGGCCTACCGAATACATCGTAAAGCCGTCGCAGTTTACTGTTAAAGGCTAAAGCGTACAGTAGTGCAGCCGCGGCGCGCCTGCTTCAACTGTCGTGTGCACCCTTGAAGCTGGCCCGGGAATATAGAAAATGAAAGTCAATGGGTCCAGCGCTTTACATACCTGCATTCGACATGCTTGAGCGCGTTTCTGAACCGCAACTTCAAGTCGGTGCGAGTATGCATTCTGCGCGCGTCGGTCACACGTGACAATCTACCCCAAGAAATTGCACGTTCCCTTTTGGGTTGTTGACCTCACCTTATTTCCTTCCGTCATGGCTGGTAAGTCGCCTGGGCGCGGCCTGTATCAATGCTGATGTTCCAGCTAGAAAAACCAATATCCATCGTCCCTTTACTCTCTAGAGCCCTTCACAGAATACGCACGACCCCCCCTCGTATAATTGCGTCGCCTCCGACTCGTGCGTTCTTCCCGTCAACTTCTCTTGGCGCCACCATTTTAGCCGTTTTCAGAACCCCGCAGAGCTGCTGTAGCACTCATCATCCGAGTGGTGCCCTCTCCCGGCGCGATTTTGCCCCCACCGCCCACAAATCCGGTCACACTCTCCGAATTCTTCGAGCTCGAATGGGTCAATGACCCTGGAGCACGCCCCGAAATTCTCTTCTTGCAGCGGGAAAACCCGGCGCCAGAAGACTCAGCCATGACCAGGATTCGCAATACGCACGAGGCGCATGTCGCGTTTCCTGGCGGTAGGACCGAGGCGGACGATGAAGGCGGCCTCTATACCGGTATGTCAAATGCTGTTGCCTCCCTGCTCTTTGTTTTTACAATAACGCACGCAAGCCATGCGGCAGACGTGGGAAGAAATAGGCATTGACCTCGCCGAGCGGGATTATACCTGTATTGGACAATTGGACGACAGAGAGATAACGACATCGCTGGGGAAACGTCTCCTCATGATCCTCTCGCCATTTGTTTTCCTGCAATTAACACCACAAGCACCACCCCCTGACCCCACGGCATCGACGACCCTGCACTGGACACCCCTCGCATCACTCGTCTCCGCACACGCTCCTCCTAGATGGTCCACCGTCACTGTTGATGCCGCCTCCCGCCTCGCTCCGAAACATTCAACTGCCCTGCGCCTCCTCGTCCAGGTCCTGGTAGGCAGTATGGAATTTCCCGCGATCATTGTGCAGCCTTCGTCGCTCCCGTCTGTAACCCCGGATGGAAAACCAAATATAACGCACGATATCCTCGAAAAAGGTTTCGTTTCGCAATCTGGCCGGCCTCAAAAACTGAAGCTCTGGGGTCTGTCTCTGGGGATGACACTCGACTTAATGTCGTACATGGTCCTCCCAGCACCTTCCTCGACGCGTGACAACTCAGAGGCGCACAAGGCCAACTCTGGGTCATCGTCCCCGCTTTCACCTATGATGCAGCTTCCGTATCAGACCGGCGCAGAGGGAATGCGTATGGACGTGGTTGCACCTAGTTTAGCAAGTGTGTTCCCGAGATTCTCTTATCCCGACGTCAATTTTTGGATATGGTGTGTTGTTTTTCAGTATGGGAGTAAACGGTCGCTTACTTTATTGCAGGGTGTTTGGTAAGCGGTATCGAGAGGTCGTGCGCGGATGGGAAGCCAGTGTGCGGGGAGGAGGAACAAATGATCGGCGGTTCGTTCTTGCTTGCTTTTTTGGCCGATTCGCGCTTACGCCCCCTCAGAATAAACTGGTCAGGCTCTGCGCTGAGTACATTCTATGCCGCGATTCGCAAGGCTCTTGTGGTGGTTATAGTCGCCCGTGCCCTCGGTGTGCTCTTTGGAGTGGCTTTCGCCACCTGGTGGATATTTGGACAGTAGCTAGGCTAGGGTAGATCTTTCTTCATACACGTTTTAATTCGTGGTCTATTGGTTTCTTTGTACTCGTATGGGAACTGATATACAGTTGATATGTTGTAAGTACGGCTACAATGGCAGGCCGCAAACCTCACAGTCGGTACCGCCGTGAGCATTCTCAAAGGTGCAGTGAGGACAGATCCTGATCCCGGCACTGCTCCCTGCACCACCTGCTCCACTTCCTCGCGCGGCGGCTTCCTCGGCCGCGATTTGGTCGAAAACTTCCTGTGGGATGTCTTCATCCCTAGACGAGGATGCCGGGGGAGCGGCTGCTCTGCATTAGCCGAGATAAAAATGGCGAGTCAACAGAAAGACATACATCCACTCTCTCGCGTAAATGTCATCAGCGTGTTCCAGCCTTCAGTAGCCAGCAGCGGGTCGAGTTGACTTAGATCCTCTAGCAGGGTAGGTGATGACACTATGCGCATCAATAATTTCACATCCTCCTACAAACATTATTAGTTGACTCTGAAGAAGCTCGACCAATATGACCACTCACGGGCGAAAAGAGCTGTGTTGTGTCCAGAAAAGCGACGAGATGCCAATCGCTGAGCCATGTCGCCAGTTCTCTCCGCTTGTGAGCCTCCCCGGGTTTGGCGATCCGGCTGTCCACAATATTCGGAGCATCCAGGCTGGCGAGGGCACTGATCGCGCTTTCCACGCGCTGGTCCTCCAAGCCCGGTCGGTTCTCGATGGCAAACTTCGAAGACAGGAACAGAGGTGACGGATTTTGTGGGAAGCCATGTGTTACCTAGGGAGCATTATTTTCTGTTTTCTTTGGTTGGGACGCGAAGACTAACGTTGACCATCAAATATTCCACAGGGAAGGCGGGCTTGGCAGTTTTCTTTACTTCGAGCCCATACTCGTTCTTGAAAGAGAAGAAAACGTCGGGTACGTATCTCGCCGAGCCCTGTGTTCGATCCTCCTCCTTGACCCGAACGATGCCAGGGTCAACACTCGCTTCTATCATGTCTGCTTCGACCATGGCGCACGCCTGTTCGGAAACTTGGTATGCCGCGATATCTACCTGCCCGTCCTCGGTGGCGGTCAGAATAGCGGTGACCAGCCTTGAAGCAAATTGGCCTGTAGGCGAGGACTTTGAAGGTGTTGGGTTGGATTTTTGCATCGTAGCGGCAAAGATGGCCTCCAGCGAGGACATGTAGAAGGAACCAGGATGCCGCTTGTAAACATTCTTCGTTCGGTCCTCATCCGTTGGGGTCAAATCGGTGAAGATGTACCCGACGACAGTCAGTGGCGTCGAGGCAGAGGCAGAGAGTTCCCTGATACGCGGTTCCTCCTCCCACGGTAGACCCAGGGTAAGGCCATCGAGTTCACCCTCCTGTGGAGGTTCGTATATGGCTTCGACCACAGCCTTGACACCCATTGGTACCTTATCGTATGGTTGATACCGCCCAATCAACCAGCCAAAACGCTGGAAACCAGTCGACCGCCAGGCATGCAGAAAACGGTCGATCACGTCCGTCGAGGCAATCTCGAGATGGTCAACCATTCGGAAAGGTTGTGACTGCAGGGTGATGGCAGAGGGTTGACAAGATGTACATATACCCGCAGGCCATGACGGGTGGCCACTCGGACACGGCACCTTTACTTTGTAGGAAAGCGGAGTGAGCGGTGGGAGAGAGGCAGTGGCGGACGAAGACGATTTGGGGCTGAGTTGCTTCAAATACGCGTGGTAGGATAGATGTTTAATAGCATTTTCCTTGTGGTAGAGAGCATTGTAGGGTTCAAGAGGCATGCAATAGTCGCACATTCCGTTTGTGGCGTGAGTGCAGAAGCGGGCGTCGCGACTGCGAGGAATTTTACCGTCTTTGGACCGCCAATAGACATCTACAGGATCCTCCTTCACGTTCTCCCATATCCGAGTCGTTTCGGGTACCCCAATGGGAAGCTGAGTGGAAGAACTCGGCACAGAAGTGGTCTTTGGTTGGTAAGTCACGAAGATGAGATCAGCGTGGCTTGAAGGACATCAGATACGGGCGTGTCATGCCAGGTGATAAAAAACACACTTGAGACCAAGACTCTGCAAGGATCGGCCTTTCAGGCTCGAGAATTTGGCCTCATTCCCTCGTGGTTGGTTGGATATTGTGAAACTCGATGGGTCTGCATCTGGAGCTGTTTCCAAGATCTATACGGATCGTCAGCTCCGGATTTGCTGTTTTTCTACTGGAACAAACCTTGGCGAGCAACTCTGAAATATCGGCAGTGGGTGCGAAATCAAATCGAAAGTTTCCGTCCTTGGACCTGACGCGGAGAAGCTATTGAAGACTTCAGTGGGCTTGTGGCGGTAATGAAGCAAGAAACACGTACCATGGTGGAAGTAGAGAAAGATGGTCAAGACGCGTAATGCTGACCCAATCAGGAATATCCGAGTCGCGTACAGCCACCGACCGGCATCGACTTTCGACACCATGACCTCGGTGTTGCAGCTCCTGACTCTCCCAGTCAGCTCCAATGGTTTCACCACTCTCCCCAATTCAATAACGGCCATTGAGCCGTCTTCACCCGCCCACAAGACCCCTCGTCGAGCTACCGATTCCGACTCGCCCTCTACAGCGAGAGCTGCAAACACCAGAGCAAACCAGCCTACCAAGATCCAGGTGGTTGGATCGAGCCACCGTAGCAGTGCACCACGATCGAATACTCTGCAGCAATGCATCAGACACATTTTGACGCGCGGCAGTGAGGATCACCGACTTCCTACATATGAGGCTATATACAGCGAGTGTCTCTCGGTCGTCTGCGTTTTAGGGACAGGAGAGGGCCTCTACCAAACATTAAAGCTGCAGCTGGAACAGTCCGTCAGCCATTTATC